TGTGTTATTTTCTGTGCCGAAGATGCTGACTTTTCACGGTTGTAAACACGCGGTTTTTATTGATTTTTTTACACAATTACTGCTGTCAGGTTTTCTGACATCTTTATTAAAGATCATCAAATCTTTATTAAAGTCTAAATTAGTGCAAGTGACAACAAATCAAATGAGTGGTGTTTTAAAGGTAGGTATAAGTTGATAGTTATATTCTTGTTGTTTCATATCTTACATATATCTTTATTCTAAACTCGATGTATTGGGTGCAGTAAATGTCTTACTTATTCAAGGAAATAAAACACAAAACCCTTAAAATAGCCTCACCACTTGGGAAGATCGGAAATTGTAAGTGTAACACAAATTGTAGCGATTGTGTAATCGGGCTAAAATTGCTCCTGGGCCCTTTACAGCAATAATAACATGCACTTGTTTAGTTTTAATTTTTAGTTTTGTAACGTTTTTATAGTGGGTGTCTAGATAATGATGGGAAGATTTAATAAAAGATTTATTAGCAGTTAAGAAGTTGTATTCATCCCTTCAGTTTAATGTTACAATCCCTGGACTAGCTCAGATACAATATATTTAAAAAAAATATAACAATAATAATGAGTTGGGCGCCTTGTCTGTTAGGAACAGACTGTTGTAATAAATACAATTACGTATCTCAGGGAGTCGTGAGTACATAGGACCTACACATTACTTTGTGCGACCATAAAAGGTTAAATAATTAAATTAATTTGAGATGGTAAAACTTATGCAATTCAATTTAAAAAAACAAAGTCCAATCAGGTAGTTATTTAAAATCCATGTCACCGCAGAGACATCTGCCCTGTGTGCACAGGTCAGCGTTGAGCTCAGAACCAGTAGAGAAAGTCAGGCCAAGTGTAGTGTGTACAGCCACACTGTTGGGGGGTATGTAGGAGACCTCCTGCCAACAAACACTACATTGTAGAACTAACAAAGGCAGGGATATGAATCCACCTACACTTATAAAGATGTGAAACACTTACCAACTGGAGGTAAAAACAATATTTAATAGAGCAGCAGCTCAGACCAGCTTGCCAGCCACCTATGCCTTCAGCATGTCACCTGTGATATTCGAAAAACCATACTTAGGAACACGAGACAATAAATTCTCAATCTACCTTCATGTGAGATTTCTAAATACATTCACAATGCAAGTCTTTTACAATTTTAGTAGGAAACCAGTGAAAATAACAAAGGATCTTACCACGAGGGATAACAAATACAGCACAGAGTTTCCCAGACAGCAATCACAAATAATACGACCAGGAACGTGTTCTGATTCAACCTCTAGCCATGCACTGTAAAAAAGCGAATTGATAAGAAAACGAAATACGTAAACAAAACAACCACTGGCATGGCCGAAACCAAGCAATTACTTACCAGTCGAAGATAATAGATCCACAAAAACTAATTTATCCAATGTCAATTCGAACCGGCGGCAATCTCAAATGACAAGTACCAACAAATGAACTTAACTTTTTGATTTGACCTTTCGAAAAGGCAAAGGTTCATATGACATGCAGCCTAGTCTTTAGAAAAACAACAATTTCGACAAAGTGATGAAATCACACATCACAGTTTTTTGTAAAACATTGCCCTCACTGAAGGATAACACTATCCTGCGTTGTAAGGTACGAACATAAATTTCACGTGGACAAACAACCAGATCCGAAACCATTAACTGTGGGTCACACAAATCGATGTTCCTTTGTGGGAATAGAACCCCCGGCGACGAAGCCAATACCTTGGTAACTGCGCCACGGAGTCATCGTATTATTACATAAAAACATAGACTATTTATTATTTCATCATACCATACTCGAGTACAGTGTCGAGTTTGGCTGACTCAGTACTAGTAGTGCAATAAGATCCACCATAGGTGTCTAATTTCATTATGTTACAAGGTGTATCGTGTGTCTGTCTGTAATATTAGAACTGTGGCGTACACCACACTTCCTTTAGAACTAAAATGAATGATCCGCGAAGTCATCCTTAAGTAAAATCTAATTTGCATTTTATGACAACAAAGCTATTATAATTGTATGTATTGGTGTGTGTCTGTATTTATATGTGAGCGAAAACATCATTCGACAAGACATTCATCGTTCAACGCTCGGCATTCTCATTCGATCTTATCGTCGCTATCAAGATCGTTCGTTCAGCGAAGTGTTTGTAGTTCACCTTGAATAGGACCGAAAGAAAATTTATTTTGTTTTTATATTCTCTACATGTTCAATATACTATTATATAATAGCTCTATTGATTGTCCATGGGACGGACTGAGATGTTTCAGACATAGCGCGGGCTACCGGCAACTTCTTGAGAATCAAGTATTATTTATCTGTACTAAATTCAAAATACAGTCACGCAAGAGCGCCGGGCGACGGCGAAAGTTCGCGAAACTCATTTCCCTTTGATAACGTCGAAATGTTCTTGAAACGCGTTCCGCTCCCGACTGTACCGCGCCAAAGGAGGTCGTCAAACTTTAACCGGCGAGTTAACAAGCGGCGCGAGCACAAACAAACAGTACAGGCACGCTTTTTATAGTGCATTCGAATTAAATACCACGCACGTATGTGGTTTTGACTCGCCGCAGCTCGGCTTCATTCATCAACTTTGTACCGCGAAAAGCATGGAAACACTCGTTCGGTCTCCCGTTAGACATTTGATGTGAACGACACGAAACGTAAACGTAAGTAACGACCTTTGAAATTAATATGGATGTACTAATTTCTTTGGTATAGCTTAAAATGGAGGCAGATATGATATGGCCATAAACATCGACTTAACGAAATATAGCGATAGCTCAGGGTCCGGGCACTCACTTTTAATTAAATGTACTCAAGCAACCTGAGTTCAATTCTCGGTACCGATGAAATTTTTAATTACAATTATTGGTGATCACGTGTATTGGTGGTCACGTGTCCTAAATTAGTATACACTGATTAGACGTGAGTTCAGCTATTTTGTTTTACTTCGTTAATAATTTTTCACAAATATTATTCGAATTTTATCGACTTTTTGGGTAGCAATTGTAAATAATAATAATGGGTATGAAAACGTACATGGAAAGACGAGCAACCTTTATTTATATTTAATACAAACTATTTCTATCCATTATTTGCGTCACACAGGATCATTAAGAAGTGTATACAACAATTGCTTATTATTCTAAAACGTATCACCGATTCATTTCCGAAACCGTGAAGGTTGATCGATACAATTGTAATTCACTATTTTGTAGACACCCGCCCGCAATTTTGTCTTGTTGACTGTATTTAATGAGGGGAAAGTGAGTGAAAGTGCTTATTTAGCGAGTAGCCGCTTATTTCGAAGCGATAAACGCAATGAAATAGCCGACTATTGCCTTATGATTAAGGTACACTGGCTCTGAGATGCGGTCGCGGAGTGTACGTGTTTGTTTTGTAAACGTGTGCAACTTAACCCGTGCCTAATGACATTGTTAATTAAAATTTAAAGACCTGATTATTTCATATATATTTTACAAGGTGGATGCATGTTTATTGTGGATGCACTTATGTATTTTTGTGAGAAAAAATTAAGACCACTTAATAGTCTACGGAATGAAAGCAAAAATATCTGTTAAAATACCTGTAGTTAAGTTTGGCCTTACAAAATTCGCGGGACGTCGCTTGATGTAGGCCGCTTCTGATCACTCAAAATAGAAATATCTAGAGGACAACTATGTTCAGCAGTGGACGCTTAGGTTTAGGCTTAAATTATGATGATGATGACAGTAAGACCCATCGAAGTCTTCGTACTTAATGTACCAGTGCAATAGATTACAATAGGATATTCCGTTAACCTGATATTGCATCATATTTCATGTTTTTGCTCCTTTCCCAAATACAGACACACATCTCTTTGTTGGCAAAACTCCTAAGTTCAGAAATTTCGAACATTGAACATATGAGCTTGAAGGTGAAGCGATGAGCTATGAAACATGGTGAACAAAGCGATGTGGCTATCGCGCCGTTCACGGACAGTCGGCGGCAGACAAAGAACCTCCTCCGCAGCATCCGTTGTCCATTATGCTTAATGGGCGTCCTGTTCGTTCGTACCCCAGCTACTTACCAGAACAACGATAGGCTGATTATAGAAAGTCATTAACGATAGAACTTATTTCCAGCGCATGCCAGGACACTCGTGGTAACTTATTTGTGATCTTAATATCCACTTTCGTGTACCTCCTACTCCGAGCTTAGTCAGTCCCAAGTATAGGTTAACATGAACATGGATGAAATTACTCCTCAGCTTTCTGCTTTAAGTTTAAAGGACCTTATTTGTTTCTCAATATACTTACATACATAAACCGATTCCAAAACCAATTTCAGTTGCGTTGCTAACCTTTACAATGTGCATGCTTCTACATTTCCCTTAGATGGAGTGACGAACTGTGAAAATATGCGTGAAGTCGATGGACATTGGCCCGGAATCGTGTTGGCAGTCCGTTGAGGAGACCTATGCTCAACAGTGGACTTAATGATGTTGATGATAGAAATATGCATAATAAAACTATAAGAACTGTTAGAAAAAAGTTTAATTTCCAACAGGTCATATTTTACAAATAAAGGCATTATTATTATGTTATCCCTTAATTAATTATTAAATAAAAATATATTTTAAGAACATTTTTTACTCGTCAATTAATACCAAACTAAATAAAGCTTTTACTCAGTACTTGGTAGGTGAACACACTTGAAACTTATTTTGCATTTGTAAATAAAGTTTTAAAAATATATACATATTACAGATATATAGGCACCCAGACACTAGAAAATCACTATGTTCAACGCACAATATTTTTACAGTAGTGGGGATCGAACCCAAATCCAAGAGACAGGTCCACTATCCACTACCCCAAAAGAGACAGCAAAATATAAATATATAAGCGTGAATAAATTTTATTGTTGGTCTATTAGCTTATACTATATTGTAATTTTATTCTTTTGTTTCAGGATACAGTGTTACTAATGGTGCCAAAGATAATATGGTGATGAATCACAACTTAAATAGGTTTGTAATTTATTTATTTATAGTTAATATGTCTGCTGTTATATCCTTAATTAAATAAAGATACATGTTTTACGATATGTTCTCAAGTCTTAACAGTTAACGCAACTTATGCTGTAGACTTAGAGGCTTTCTTGGTTGAACGTCATTTAAGTTCTTAGCCTTTTTTTAATTTTTAAACTAAATCTACTACTTAACAAACATAAACTACTTAAAAAACTTAAGTGCCAATACTGGATGCAGGTCACTTTACTACAGATAAATGTATCGCTTTAAGTGTTCTCCAGTCGTTAAGAGTTAACGCAACTTAATGCTGTGGATGCTTACTTGGTTCAACTTCATTTAAATTATCAGCCTTTTTTTATTTTTTTAAGTAAATCGACTATTTAAGTGCTAATACTGTAGTGTCTGTTCTTGAATACTGCTTTCTTCGATTTTTCCACCAAAACCTATTTGACGAATATCTCATGGGTAGTTCATAAATGAAATTAATTAATCTCTAAGTACGAGTAATCATAGTTTTATCTTAAGTGTTTTAAGTATAATGTTGCCCGATTTCAGATCAGCAATACTTTTTTAATTCAATTGTTGCGATAACAAACTGGGGCGTAGTGGCTTTCACAAACGTGAATTAAACAAGGTGAATTAAAAAATAATCAATTACCAAACAAAAATACTTGTGCTGGTTTAGAATCGAACCTAAGTCCCGCGACATCCAAGTCTTTCACTTAGCTACAGCGACAAATAAAAATTCGGACAGTTAGGCATCTCCGGAGCACTCATACTTATATTGACTATCAATTTACACAACAATAACAGAAATCCTCGTTAATTAATTGCGGTTAATTGTAATGTAATGTAAACGATAGTACTCTTGCATTATCCAAGGAGTTTCGATGTGAAAGCGCAGTCAATGAAGATTCGTTTTAAGCCCGCACTAAACTGGAATAGTTGGTATTAATTTCCCGGTTTAAACCCGGCAAATCCTGGAATAATTCCGTATAAATTAGCACCGCGGAGGGGACGGTGAGGGATCAGACTGGAGCGATTAATTCTGCCGAGCGCGGGGCCTGCAGTAGCTCATGCGAATGGCATGGCTGGGCCTATTCCCGTGTTTTTTTTAATTTGTATATCGGATGTTGTATGGAATCAATAATGGTTTATTAATTTGATACTTAATGTAAGAGTTCATTAATAGATTTATTGTTTTTGAAATAAAAGTTTTAATTACACACATACTGAAAGTCATATTATCTGAACAGGGCATATGTCTAAATGGAATTAACACAATTAACAGAAACAGAATTAAAAAAGTTATTTATAATATACGTAGAATTTTTAATTTTGTATGAATGTGTAGATAGATGAAAGCATACTGATTTGAATCTAATATGTAAACACAATGTTTTTTTATAAAACATGTTACTCTGGAATAATACTGTGGTGAAACAGTTAAAATCGGTTTAAATTAGATAAAAACAAGCATATTTTCCCTTTTTTTTATTAAATGTATAGCGTCCCTTACAGCAATCGCATTACATACACATTAAGTTGTAGAAACAAGTAGTCTGAAGTTAAAGCTATTTAATTACGGGACGTTCATTACATTGATATTGACAAGTCAAGCTGAATAATTAAGTGTCTCCATACTTTACAATTCACAGTAGATTGGAGGCGAGTCGACATTTTTCATTTTCCGATTACTGGTTAGTTTTTAGATTGTGTCTGTTAATTCTAGTAGTTGAATAAAATTTCGGACAATAATGGATAGACAAAACATTATGAAAAAAAAATGTGTGTGTTTTTATCTTAAGAAGCAATCTAACATACTCACGTAACAAGTTATAACGCACTTTCGCGTAACAAAAAAAATAACTAGAATAATCAGAGGATGTTTCGATTGTTTACGATGCTTAAATATATTATTTAATCTAAGAGAACATAAATTTTTGCAAATTTCGCCAGCCATAATTCGGCCTTACCCCATCTTAAAGCCCGTGGATTTGAACATAGCTATATACAGTAAATAGTTTTGTATACATGTACAGAGCTTAACGTAAATCTAGACCTGCGCAGACAGCGTAATCGTCATGCGGATTGATCGCTATAGGTGTTTCTAGGTAGACAAGCGGCCGGGCTAATAGCTCAGAAATCGCCAGACGTATATACATACAAAGGAAAAATCGCAAATTGCCCAACTCGCTCCGACTCGACAAACTTTTGGGAACTCGGCATAAAATCGTACCTATTGTCGTCTCACCAATTGCACGACTGGTCGCCCGACGTCGTGTATTGCAGGGATTTGCGGGAGGAAAAAAATATATTTATGTGTTTCGAGCACAGTTTTCTAGACGGTCCGAGCCACTTAGTGCTACGGTAAATCAATTTTTCCGTGAAGTCATCAAGATCTGCGATTCAGTGATTTATGCAATTCTTAGCGGATGCTTTTAATCATTACCGCATATACTTCGTTATTGCGCTTAGGTGATTTGTATTTTTGAGAGACAGAAATCAGATCCATTTAACTGACTTTTATGGTCCTTTTGAGTACCTACTGTTGATTTTGTTTTCCTTTAGGGGCCCACCAATAGCGGGTTCAACTGCTCTATGGGCCGAAGTCAAGGACTGTGTACATCGTTTGGATTGATGATTCGGTGGCGCAGTTGTGAAGCATATTATCGACAACGGTGTTGTTCTCAGTAAGCTATTGGCTTCGGCGCTGGGGATCGTGGGTTCGAATCCCGCACGGGACAAGTATTTGTGTGACTCTCAGATAATTTTCCAAGGAGGGTTTACGTCAGGCCGGTCGTAAAAAACCTAGCCAAAACCACTTACAACATGACTCACGTTAGACTCAAGACATAGTTTGGAGCCATAAAAGCTTTGCTTCACGAGAGAATGTGGCAAACGAGCTATCGGCCCACCTGATTATGAATGAAAAGTTCTGTTTTCTTTACTGTTCGTTGACATCCACTGCACCTGTGTTGTTGCAGTTGTGATGTCCACCTTAAAGAGATTAGGTCCCCGTTACCTCAGTCGTCAGATTGTGAAAATTAAAGGTACTGGTATTTCACGTTAGTGTTCTGTGCAACCGTGGCACTTCTCCAGATGAGTCGTGCATACAGGCAAAAACTTCTGTGTGAAACATCGGGAAACCGCTGTATTTTTACTTTTGCTTCTCGAAGCTTAAAAACGTATTGCAAAATTATTAAATCCTTCTGATGTTTGCTATTCGGCAAAACTTAACGCCGCGAACAAAGGCGGTGTTATAAAACATGTTCTGCGCTATCAATATCCTGTGACTTTAAACACAGAAGGTGACGTAACCCATGTCAAGTACCCAGGTGCCGTGGAGCTTAGAAACCGCACGTGCTCTACCACTGACGCCTCGATAAAATACATGTAGGTAGGTATCTGGTGATATCATACGTTTTAGTGTTGTACCGACTAATCATCGATCGATTTGTGTTTTTTGTGGAAGGAGTTGTTAAGGTACTAAGTCCCAACGACCACGAAAGACCTAGAAAGATCTATTGTAGTCTTACCTTCGAAAACATAAATATTGAAATTGTTAAGTGCTGATTTAAGTATTACGCGCTCTGTAATGGGAAAACGTCGAGAGAAAGCTACTTTAAAGCTACTCTACTAAAGCTATCACTACTTACACATAGTATAAAACAAAGTCCCGCTGTCAGTCTGTCCATATGTATGCTTAGATCTTTAAAACTACCCAACGGATCTTTATGCGGTTTTGTTACGAGATAGAGTGATTCAAGAGGAAGGTGTATATGTATAGTACATTGCACCCGTGCGAAGCCGGGGTGGGTCGCCAGTTTAAAATATTTAAATAAGAACGTTCTATAAAAATAATTTGTACAAATATGTCTTTTAAGGCATGTGTAATCTGCCATTTTTATATTATTTGAAAAAAAAAAGTTAATAAAATTAGTGAAATCCTTTACTACACCAGGAAATGAACTATATTTATCGATATATAAGTAAGCGGCCCTATGTTATGGAACATTATTGCCAGGATATTAAAAGTAACCGCGATACTTCCTGTTGCTCGCGGAAGGGCAATATTCCCGGCCGAGTGTAGACAACTAGTAATATGAAACTTCAAACGATCGTTTGTTTATTCCCTCAAATATATTGCCCTATTATAAAATCAATTGTGATGGCTTATTATACTCGACATATTATTCATTCAAAATTAAAATAAAGATGAAATAACACAAAAATAACAGTCTTGGATCACTTAATCTAAATGCCGCTGACTGTTATTTTAAAGGATTTGCTTTTTTGCGGTAATTCTACGTAAAGAAACGAAAAAACTGAATTTTCAACTGAATTTAATTTTCATGGCTTAGACGTGTTCCAGCCACTGCGTGGTGCCTATTGCCAAACTTTTGGATATGTATTTTCAATATAGATGTTGTAACATTTACCTGCTTTATCTAATTATAATGTTTTTATAACCACTGAGGCCCTTGAATATCACCAACCGAGCCCCTCATCGATTTTTAACTTCATTAAGGTTATTGGTTTGGGGGAGCTATCTAACTTTAAGGGATGACTACAATACATCTACTAGATGCCAGTGGTTGCTGGGACTTACCAACCCCCTTCCACACAACTCATATTCATCAATGACCGTGGTTAAGCCTGCTCGCTGACACACATAGACGTAGAAGGATTAACTCTTAGATTTCATAAATAGCAAATTAGGTAGGTTCCGACGCTACAATTAACGAAAATAATTAGAACGACGTACTGTCTGCACTAATACAAAACTAGTTGTTTAAAGAAAAAAATTCAATCATATTATGTTCCATGATATTTAAAGCAGATCCAATTTTGTTGCTGTTCAAAATTGGGCTTTTATTCTTCAATTAATTCCTTATTTAAAATATTAAACCTTCACCTTTTTGGTTTGCCGTCTATCCAAGCTTCGAAAATCCCCTGTGGATCGCGAAGTGCTTCCTTGTTGCGTTCCAGTGGGAGTTGCAGTTTTAATTGTGCACCACTTACGTTGTTTCTCCAAAGTGGGTCATCTGCTTGTGATCGTCTTTTGACAAAGCTGAAAACTCCGTGCTAACAATGTTCAGCACCGTATTTTTTTTTAATGTGAAAAGTTGCCAAACGAGCAGACGGTTCACCTGATGTTAGGTGAATACCGCCGCCCATAGACGTCTGCCACACCCGAGGGTTTGCAGATGCGTTGACAACCTTTTCGGAAATTGGAAATATGATCATTATTTAAGTTTATATTTAACTATTTTTAAAAAAAAAACAGAAATGACAACTGATTGTGCATTACGACTATAAAAATGCCTTACTTTTAATTTTACTTGCGAATAACATTTTATAACTGATAAAGTACTTAAATATATGTAGTATAACTAAAGCATTGGTAGTATAAGATTTGTAACTGATAAAGTGACATAACTAGATTTATAACTCTTCGCATTATCTTTTAAATTATAACACTGGGATTACAATCTCTGGAATAAAGCCAAATATAGGATACAATATATTGAGACGTATTTTATGTAACTCTGTGTATTTACTCATCTTGCCACATAAAAGCAAGACGCTATTAAGGATTTCATTACGTTAAGTACCATCAGACTGGAAGAGTAATAAATCATATATCAAAAGGGACCAGTGACAAGAAACAATACTTGTTATATTGTTGAATAAGATCTGTATAGTATTACATGGTACTTAATGTTAATGAAAGTTTCGTCATTGTAGTCAGGTGCTAAGCATTAATCTCGTCTCTTCGTCGTGTCAAGTTAGGTTGAGACACAGAGTGATGTGAACTATGAGTAGTATACATAAATAAAAATATTCAGAATATACGTATAACATCGGTTAATGTTTGTTAACAGATGACGTTAAACGCGTGGTCACATTTTATTCAGTTCAGGTGTAATACTTCTGCAATAGAATCTATAGAAGACTGAAGCAGTGTCAGCCGTAGCGGACAGTTATAAATAAAACAAAATAATCGATCACGAATTTAATTCCTATGGGCATAGGGAAAGGTAACCAACTATTGCTTTGTAGTTCTTTAAAAGCTTCCTTTAGCATCAAACTATTAGTCCCTGAAGCTTTAGGTCGTGATACTCGTCACCACGGACGTAAGGATTGCTCACCAGGTGAACTGTATTTTTCACATCTTAGGACCGCAAGCTCTACATCTCAGCCACTGCGCCATGACGGCCCATAAATAATTCCACTGAAACACATTTCCTTATAAACTTTCTATCCCTTCCTCATTTCCTTATAAACATATTTTGTGTAATCCCCGAACGCAACGTTCGTCTGATCCTGGCAAGCAATCGCTGCGCCGCGGACCGTGCGGAGATTTCGACGGCGAGGAATCGAATAGGGAATCCTTGACGTGAAATTAATGGATATACATAGCCCCGTTCTCCTACTGATTGCGATGTGTATCGTATAGTAGCAGAGGTTGCCAACTTTTCTCTGAATAAGGTCGGCTTTTTATTTTAAAAACGTCGACTCTGCAGCCGGCAGCTCTGTATCCGGCAACTGCAAGCGATAGGTGCGGTGACTTATTTCATGGAGTATCAAGATTTTCTTGCTTCGGAGTAATCAAAACGAGATGCAATTTATAAATAACTGCAATTTTTTGATGTTCACTTGATATTAAGTGATAACCGCCGCCCATTGACATTTGCAACACCCGTAGGGTTGCAGATGCGTTGTCACTTTTAAATAAAGTAAGCCTGGCTACTTCACACACCAGACGAAATGCAGAAGTATAACAATTGCAATTCACGCCCGTCTTCTGTGAGGTCGAGGTACTTACCCGGGCGAACCTGTCCATCCGTGCAACAGATAAGACTGTTGCGTGTCCCTACCACAGCCAAAGATGCTGTATTTATTATGTGATCAAAACTGACTATGTACAAACATCATGAGCGATTGATTTGTTTCCTCGATCTGCTTAGTGCAATATTGTAAACGACGGAGAACTTAGTCTTAATAGCATATAGATAAAGGCGTTCTGAGATATCTTATTATCGAATCAACTAATATAAATAAATAATATATAAATAAGTAATTCTTCAGTACATACACACGATGTCACTGAACTCCTAAACGGCTGGACCGATTGTGATGAAATGTTTTGTGTGATAAAATGGATTCGAGAATAAACCATTCTTAAACCAAGATTTAACTTATCTTGATCTTAACAACGCCAGTTTTTAAATGCTCTTCATTTATCCATCACGGAGGTATACCTTGTCGTAAACCTATTCGTTTTTCTATGTAAAGTTTTACTTCCCCGGATGCGTCTGCCCATTGGTGCAATAGCAGAGGCTGGTGCGCGACCCTACTACAAAAGAATATACCTTCGAAATATTCATCTCCGTGCGTAAATTGACATAGAAGGAGAAATAATGCAGAAATCAAACATTTGCTAGATATACAAGTATCTTCTTCTCTTTGCCTTACGGCACAACAATTGAATCGTTTTGTTAATGGTATTGAGGGAACAAACATCCAAATCCGCAATATTTATCTGTGGGTCACACAAATACTTCGAACCCACTACCCCCGGCGCCGTAGCCAATGACTAAGCAACTACGTCGCTAAGTCATCAGATGTACTCCTATAGAATAATTAATAACGCTATGTATATTTTGAAATATTTTAATAACATTAAGAATAAAACTTAAACCGAATTACGCAAACAGTTTTCCACAGATTGAGTAAATAGCAGTTTAAATGATAAAATCTAGGTAAACCAGGTCACATTTTCACTCCTCAATGCGTCGATTCCCCACTTGCTAGATGCTCTAGAATCTTTCTACAACACGGATGAAGTTTGTTTGTAGCACCTTTAAGACTACTTTCGGTTGCAGGTGCCGAATATCTCTGCGGCATACGGCAAAGTTTTTGTTGGTCCATTCTATTTATCCGCGAAATAAGTTTTCTGCGCCATTTTCCAGTATGTTTGGTGCGAGCCTAATTTATCTTTATTACTCAAAGTCGGGGGGCGCCTCGTCACTAGATGCAGTTATATTTTTGACGCATCCTATATGCACGGCACTGCAAACGATGTTTTAAGACGGATACGTTCTGGGGCAATATATCGCGTTTCGTACACACAGTTCGATTTTTTTTCTTTATTAATAAGTAGGTTTTTAGGAATCTAAAAATTTTAAAGTTGTTTATGGTTTTTGTGTGACTTCAAATAGTGACTTAAAATACCAAAAAATAGGAAATAAATTGATTTACAGAAAACTTAATAACTTTTAAGGCATTTTAAAGTAGCAAAGTATTCTGTAAAAATAAAACCGTTTAAAAACTTTTAAGTTAAACGGTTTTATTTTCTGTTTTTTTTTTGTGCACTGAAAACTACAATATTGTATTGTCATCTAAATTAAATGTGTGTACTAAATTTCAGATCAATCTGACAACGGGAAGGTGTTTAAATTTCAATTTCTAATTTTGACCCAAATAAACAAATAAATTCCGTACGTGTCGAGCTAAATAAAACCGTTTAATTAAGGTAACTTTTAACCATTTAATCAAAATTACATAAACAGAGTACAAAACGAGTGAAAATATAATCATAGAATTTAAAGATGTTTTTGTCACACCGGTGAATAAACAGTCATATCCACATAAATATAACTTTCAGGCGTGGAATCTTTGGCAGACGGCCGAAGCGGCGTCCAGTCGACACCGACGCGGCCGCAGCGACGCGTCTACCCGCGTGGACTGACGCATACGAGTCGAAATTTTCAGTTTTCGAAAATCGAACGTTTTTATGTATTTTTTTTTTTATAAGTGCAGTGAATGTTGCTTTAAAAAAAATATAGATTTTGTTAAACGTTAGGCGTTATCGATAGTGAAATAAGTGGGAGTGGTATAAATTATAGAAACGAAAAATACCTAATTTTAGTTTCATTTTAAACATAATTAATGGATTCTTTACAAAAGATTCCAAAAATAATAAATTCAAGTTTAACTTAATACCTAATTATTTCAATACATGAAATGATAAACTTCGGGGCGAATTCGTGTTGTAATTATATTTTTAAACACCTAATTCGTTGACCTGCTGCGCAAAATCGGATGTGAAAATATTTCGCAGACGGATTTGCTAATGACAACTACACACAGAATAATCGCGTGTTCCTTTGATCGGCGCTAAGATCGCGTGGATACAAATTTGAACCCCAATCGCTCACACTTACGTCGCATTATCCCGTAGTGGGGTCGTTCTCTGCAGTCCTATTCATTTTTAAACCTTTTGTGTTCAAAGGATGAGGCTCATAAAGGAAGTAAACAGAGTACGCGAAGCCTGTAAGCGAATTTAAAATGCTACATTGCCGTAAAAGGTAATTACATATCCTTGGATAAAGGACACGTTATAATATTATGTTCAAAACCTTACAGACGTATTTTTATATTCAACACTCCATATTGTATACGGATGACGAATTAAAAAGAAAACATTAGTAGTTTATGACAGCGTGCTTCTTGTGGCTCGTGAGCAGAGTTTTTGATAGCATAATAATTCGCGATGCGTTTGGTCTTGTTTATAATTAGATGGGAAAAAATTGTAAATCGTTTATCGACCGAAGCTTTTCGCGTCATTATGCGTTTCAGCATTTTAGTTTATAAAAACATGCGGGATAGAACACCTAATTACGACTAGTAACGTAGACTACGTTACTAAATAGGTAGGTAAAATGGTAGTTAACACTAGTCAATGTGTATTAAAAATGATTAATTGTAATACTACTAATTATATAATGAGGTTCCAGTTTCCAACGATGAATAGCAGTCTTTGTCAATTCTAAAACCGTCCCCATTTTTGACTCCAAAAAGTAATTTCCATTGCTTTTTTCCGGGTATGTTATTTGTATGAATAAGATTTTGCCTCTCTGTGAACAGGATACAAATAATAGAACATTTTGAAGGACTTCTAAAAAAAATTAATATGAATCTCTTGGTTTTACTTTTTTGTCAAACCAAAACAGAGACGGTCACTCACTATTATATTGACCAGTGAACTTACGTATATTTCACGCAGAAGTTAACAAAATTTCACATTTCTTCAAGAAATCGAACGACGAAAGATACGAATTATGTATCACATGCCATACAAATCTTTCAAAGATGTCGTAACGGGGAAAAAAATTAATAAAAATTTATTATATTATAGCGGAGCACGACAAAGGTTATTGGTATCGTAAAATCGTGAACAGTATTTAAGCTTACGGACATATTCCGTCGCCACTGAACGTTTGCCGCGCGTAATAAACGGCCGCCCGCGTTTACGCGAGCGCCAATTTAGCCGTAAGCCGTTGGATGACACTTCGCCGCACGGCTAGGCGGGAGAGCCATTGTCGTCGACAACGAGGCAGGCTTCCGACTACGCGATGTAATGTAAACTCTTTGCAAAAAAATGGGGCATATAAGAAAAAGAAAAATTATTATTAGTTTATTTTATTTCTTTATGCTGTTTCTTTTATTTAATGTTATTAAACAATTTTTACGGATTTATCGCGTTTATATTTTTAATTTTAATACCGAACGAACACGTCCAACGTCTCAGTCTGTCCAGTGACCATGAACGCTGTAAAGAGTTCAAAACAGCGGGAAATAAAATTAAAAATATACGCGATAAATCCGTCATAAAAGTATTTTCGTTTATAATGTGTTATCGCGTAAATATAAGAAATTATCCTTTAATGTTATTAATTACTAAAAGTTTGCTTTTTAAGCATAATAGCTAGGTGCTTACAGAGAAAGCCGCGGGCCGGGCGATGACTGTGTATATTGGCAGCAAGGTCTTTCCTCTTTACCGTTCATAGACTAATTTGCACATTTCTAACATCTTGGAGGTGGAATATGAAAACTTGCGATTTATCAACGATGCACTCAACAGAAAACGATCATCCATTCGTTACATGGATTTTTTCCAAAACTAGGCCTTCTCTTAAAAGAACCGTCTCTCTTCATCGGGTTGCCATGTCCTTTGGACGGAACAAACTACTCAAACTAAGCCCCCGAACCGTACTCAAGAAGCGCCATGATTTTTCTGGCTTGCATCATTTTATCCACTATTTTCGAAACTTCTAAAATGCATACGCGAATATTATACATTGTTAAATAATACGTGTTACGAATTTTATCTCGTTTAATTAGATTTTTAAATCACGGAAGTTTCTGGAAAGAGTGCGAACATGCAATATTCATAATTCAATAAAATAATTGCTAAAATTTATTAGTCGGTATTAACTTTTTGTTCGCGTCACAAAATGAAGTAAAATGAAGAAGTTTTTTTCTTTAAAGATAATATTAAAATTATTATAAATGTAGCTGTAGGGAGAACTTAAGTCTTCACGGAAATCGTTTCGTTGTCTCCAATATTATATTTCGCTACATTAGGATATTGTATTGAATTTCACGAAAGCAATTCTCGTTCGTCCTTACGAAAAAAACTTTACGGCCTGCCTGGAGATGATCCTCAAATTTCCTGAGTACTTATTAACTGCCAATCTACGTTTTTTTTTTTAATAAGAGTGAGCAATCAGCACCGATCAATAATACCAATGTATAATATGTAACATAAATATCAATATATATATTATTATATATAATATAAACCATAATATCAATAATCAATACCGAAGTGATCACCGGCTTTCATGGGCAATAACAACACCATGCAAGCTATAAAGCCAACCGACCTCCAAAGTAGGCTTTCCTTAAAGTAGTATTTATTTATTAAGGCGGACTTAATGCTTGCTAAAATCTCAACCGGGCAATCAAAAAGGTGACGGAGACATAAGATTAAGATGTAAAACAAGCATAAATATTAAATGAAACCAAAAACTCCGCTGCGTTAAATATACGCACCAATCCACAATTTTTTTCGGATCATCTCGTATTATCTTTAGTACCCGGAGGAACGAGCTTTGCTCGGTTTGTTTTTTTTTTTGGTAAATCGTGTGTTTTGGAAATTACATTCAGATACAAATTACTGAGTAATGATATATGTATAATATTTTTCGATCTTACCGACGTAATAATAAGAAAATATGAATCGATGTTTTTCACAAAAGAAAGAACTTTAAAAAAAAAGGGAAAAAATAACAAAATAACAAATCGACAAAAAATGAAAAATAAAGAAAGCAATGATCTGGAATAAAAAAAAAAGTAAAAAAATAAATGTGTAAATGATCGTGACGCGAACCACGGCCGTCTGTTTTGGGGCCGCCCGATTACCGACCGAGCAATTCTTGTATATATATATATACAAGAATTGCTCGTTTTAAGATATCCGTCAAAATGTCAAATGTTTGTGGTAATTGTTAAATGGCAGGGCGACATAAACAGTCTTCGATGTTGCACGAATGGGCTGGCACATCCGAGAAAGCACCACAATCTCACAGAAGATTGGCGTGATGTGGAAGTCTTAAATTGCAGCGTTTCGTCTGGTCAGTAAGGTAGACCCACTTTATTAAAAGGTGGCAACGCATCTGAAACCCTAGGGTGTTGCACATGTCAATATATGTTGTGTAAAGAAATTGCTCTAGTTATTTTTTTTAATTTATTTATAAAACCAAAACACTATCATTACAGATACTTAATCTAATACATTAGTGTGGCAATCTACAACACAAAGAAATAAAATAAAAATGGAGAATGCTTATTAACCATAAATCCACTACAAATAATGATGCAATCATTCGGAGAACACAAGAATAGATCTACATCCCTAGCGATTAATATTTAAAGTTACTGATATGTTCGGATTCGATACAGATATGGAAATATGGTTTAAATGTTTTCATCTATAAACGCCTTAGAAGCTTTCTCAGTCCGAACCAATATCTAATTCGCTAAATCAACAGCCGGCCTCGTCCGAATCAAAAACAACGATAAATCCATCAATGACCGCCGCCGGCGATTCCAATCTATTTGATATGAAAATATTTGAGCAGCTCCTTTTCATCCGTATTTTCAACTGTCAGTGTGAGTCAATTTGATTACGACCGCTTATATAGGTCGAAATTTACCAAGACATTCGCATACATTCCCGAACTCTCTCCTGAACCAGTTAAATCTGATTTGTATGCGCGAAGAGTTTAGGCATTTTTGATCTTCTCCGATTTAAAGATTCATCACCCAGAATAATATCACTGGACTGACCATGGCCACTTACTACCAGGTAACAAATGTCCAGTATGATTGCACGAATGACACAATGCATTGGTCCATTTGCCAACAGCCATTTTGTGCAGTGTAGTTGGTTCGATCCTCGAAACAAAAATTTTTTGGTTTCCATAAATTGTTTGAGTTTGATTGTTGTTTTTGTTCATAAGTTTACTATTAAAGCGCTCGGACACTGTGCTACCATGGCTCAAATTTATTTATAAATATATTTAAGTATAACTTCTATAAGGTGAAAAGTTATTTTAAAGCTGTGAAAAACAAAATTGAACAGATTTGAAGTGCATACGTTTCGTGTCCAATAACTAACTAACGTCTACGAAATTTAGGTCGCCTGGGATGGCATGTGCAATTTTGTAACCGCTATAGATGCTGGAAACGAATATAACCTCACTTTATTTTGTGTTTGCCGCTTAGATTTTTCCTGCAGTACCTTAAATTGTGATATTTCTTTTAAGAGAAGGTAACAAACGAACGGGTGGCACTTGACGGTACGTATTTTATTACTTTCACCATAACAATTTTGTTGCCAAAAAGTAGCATATTCTAGGAACATCACTAAGTTTGGGCCCCGTTGCGTTCCCAACGACTAAAACCAAACCAATTTTTTAGACGCAGTTCTTTTGTATTTAATCATCAGAGTATATAATACAAAAGAGAAAATAATTTTACTTCACGATTGTATTCAACAAGGTCGTGGAGGAGCTGTGTGAAATAATGACAATAAAAATAATTACTTACGAGTTTCATTAATTAATACTTGTATATACATAGCTTCGAGCACCGTAATGGCTTGCATTCACTTATCAATAAAAATAATGACGCATCCTTTTAAACAGCTTTTATGTCCCAGAGACCATTTAATATTGTCAACTTTTTATGACATGTGTTTTAATTGAACTAACTAACGCATAGTGTAGAGTAGTGCATGGATGACAGTGAGAGATTTATGTAGAACCATCTAAAGGGACGTGAAATATAACTTCTGAAGAAATATATTCTTATTATGCCATATGTAATCTTTTTTTTCTAAAATATTTCCAGACCAATACTATAAACTCATGTGATTGCAATTGACGGTTAAAAAGCACACAATTTCGAAGCTTTTGTAATGCACAAAGAGCCCGCTGAGATCAACAGTAACATTGAATGATATCACGATTATAATTTTTTACAATATAACGGACTTAAGCAAATAGTTATGATCGTAAGTTTTGGGAAGGTGTGGTTATAAAATCAGTCAAATTTCGAACATCATACCTGACATTAAATTTGTTAATTTGCGAATTTCAGCTGTAAAGATAAATGTAGGTAATTCTCATAATTATTTAAAATAATTTTAACGCCAGTTACTGCCTAATTGAAGTCTCTAAGTGGAACCCATTGTATTACAATTAAATCGGATCCCTGGGAGCGACTTTCTATCCGCCATGATTATCCATCCAATTCCGTAGCCGAACGAATTGCCTTTCAAGGAAAACTCGAGAATTTATCGGGTTCCAGATTATATAATATTGATTGGCAAATTAAATAATCTACGCTTTTTCACTTAAATTGTCGTGGAAAATGAAATATTTCTTATGTTCAAACGAAGGATTAATAAATACACTTTACGCGCTTTAGTCTTCGTGTAAAGTATACAAGCGAAAAAAAAACATAATTTATAAAGTTTAGTTTTTAGTGCAAATACCCAACGTTTCTTATACGAGTACTAACGTTTGCGTAGTCAGTCTGTTAAACGGGTGTCCATCTGAACCACTTTGGGAACTAAGGCATAAATAGTAAACGCAATTTCTCTCTTATTATACTGCAGTATCTGGGTGTGGTGAATTTGTTTTATTTCGCTGATGTAACATAAAATATGTTTAATACTAGATAGTAAGTAGTTCACCGTAATCGCTTGATGCCACATAGAAATATTCCTTCAGTTTGTATGTTTAAAAGATGATGATGGTTACTCCGACCGATTTCGGCCATGGCGGCCTCTTCAACTCCTAATTGATTTGGCGCTGATGCACCCAAAAATGGCTTATATGACCTTGGCGGCCTAACTCTCTTGCACAGTGAGGGCACGTGAGTGAGCCTACATAGTTATAAATAATGGCGGCGGCTGGACGGGCCTTTAGGTCATCGCGCTTAGCGTTGAGTTCAGCCTTACGCTGATCTTCAAACTCGCGAAAGCAGTCGGATACGTAGGATAAAT